CCCTATCAAAACACCAACAGCATTTTTCACAAAACTAGAACAAATAATACTGAAATTTGTATGGAACCATAAGAGATCTGAAATAGCCAAAGCAATCCTGAGAGAAAAGAACAAAGCTGGAGGGATCAGAACCCCAGATTTCCAGATATACTGCAAAGCTGTAGTAATCAAAATAGTATGGTATTGGCACAAAAAGAGACACAAAGATCAATGAAACAGAACAGAGAGTCCAGAAATAAAACCATGCTTATATGGTCAATTAATCTATAACAAAGGAGGCAAGCATATACAATGGGAGAAAAGATAGTCTCTTCAACAAATGGTGCTGGGAAAATGGGACAGTTACCAAAAAAGAAAGAAAGAAAGAAAAAGAAACCAGACCACTGTCTCAACCCATACACAAAAATAAACTTAAAATATCAAAATATGAGACCTGAAGAAAACATAGGCAGTAATCTCTCTGACATTATCCTTAGCAACATTCTTCTAGCTATGTCTCCTCAAGTAAGGGAAATAAAAGAAAAAATAAGGGCGCCTGGGTAGCACAGTGGGTTAAAGCCTCTGCCTTCGGCTCAGGTCATGTCTCAGGGTCCTGGGATCCAGCCCTGCATCGGTCTCTTTGCTCAGCGGGGAACCTGCTTCCTCCTCTCTCTCTGCTTGCCTCTCTGCCTACTTGTGATCTCTGTCTGTCAAATAAATAAATAAAATCTTAAAAAAAAAAAAAGAAAAAGAAAAAAGAAACTATTAGGCCTACATCAAAATAAAAAGCTTTTGCACAGTGAAGGAAACCATCAACAAAATAAAAAGGCTATCTACTGAATGTGAGATTTTTGCAAATGATATATCTGATAAGAGGTTAATATGCGAAATACATAAAGAATTTATACAATCTACACCAAAATCACAAGTAATCCAACTAAACAATGGGCAGAGGAGCTGAATAGACAGGTTTTTCCAAAGAAGGCATATAAAGGCAGCAGACACATGAAGAAAACGCTCAACATCACTAATAACCAAGGAAATGCAAATTGAAACCACAATGAGATACCACTTTACACGTGTCAGAATGATTGGAATCAAAGAGACAAGAAACAAGTGTTGGTGAGGATGTGAAGAAAAAGAATCCCCCATGCACTGCTGGTGGTAAGGCAAGTGGGTGCAGCAACTGTGGAAAACACTAAGTAGGTTCCTCAAAAATTAGAAATAGAAACACCACATGATCCAGTAATTCCACTAATAGGTATTTATGCAAAGAAAATGAAAACACTGATTCAAAAAGACGTATGCACCACTATGTTTATTGCAGCATTATTTATAATAACCAAAATATGGAAGCAACCTGAGTCCACTGATAGATGACTGAAGATGTGGTATATATACATACAATGGAATATTACTCAGTGATAAAGAATGAGATCTTGCCCTTTGCAACAATATGGACGGAGCTAGAGGGTATTAAGCTAAGTGAAACAAGTCAGACACAGAAAGACAAATACCAAATGATTTCACTTAGAGGTGGAATCTAAAAAACAAATGAATGAACAAAAAAACAGATGCTTAAATACAAAGAACAAACTGATGATTGCCAGAGGATCACAGGGAGGTGAGTGAAATAAAGGGAATTAAAAAGTACAAACTTCCAGTAATAAATCATGGAAATAAAAAGTACAGCATGAAAAGTACAGTCAATAATATTGTGAGAGGGCACCCGGGTGGCTTTTTAAAGCCTCTGCCTTCAGCTCAGGTCATGATCCCAGGGTCCTGGGATTGAGCCCCACATCGGGCTCTCTGCTCAGCAGGGAGCCTGTTTCCCCCTCTCTCTCTCCTTGCCTCTCTGCCTACTTGTGATCTCTCTGTTAAATAAGTAAATTAAAAAAAAAATAATATTGTGAGAACATTGCTGATAGATGATGAGTATACTTACTGTGGTTAGCACTGAGTAATATATGCAACTGCTGAATCATGTTTATACACCTGAAACGAATATAATATTTTATGCTAATTACACTTCAGTAATAAAAAACAATCTGATATAAAAAATGAGCAAGAGTGGTGCCTGGGTGGCTCAGTCAGTTAAGTGTCCGACACTTGATTTCAGCTCAGGTCATGATTTCAGGGTCCTCTGATTGAGCCCCACTGGACATTAGGTCTGCTTAAGATTCTCTCACCCTTGGTGCCTGGATGGCTCAGATGGTTGGACATCTCCTTCAGCTCAGGTCATGATCTCTAGGTCCTGGGATGGAGCCCCAAATGGGGCTCCTGGCTGGCTCAAAGGGGAGCCTGCTTCTCCCTCTCTGTCTCTGACATGAATAAATAAAACCTTAAAAAAAATTCTCTCTCCCTCTGCTCACATTCTTTCTCAAATAAATAAAATCTTTAAAAAAAATTGGGCAGAGAACCTGAACAGGAATTTTTCCAAAGATGCACAAATGGCCAACAGACATATGAAAAGATGCTCAACATCACTAATCATTAGGGAAATCAAAACAGCAAGGAGATATCACTTCATAACTCTCAGAATGGCTAGTTTCAGAAAGACATGAAATAACAAGTGTTGGCAAGGATACAGAGAAAAGGAATTCTCATGCACTACTGGTGGGAATAAAAACTGGTGCAGCCATTGTCAAAAACAGCATGAAGTTTCTTCAAAAATTAGAAATAGAATATAAAAAAATAGAAATACCTACCATCTAGTAATTCTGCTACTTCATATTACCCAAAGAAAACAAACACAAAAAACTAATTTGAAAAGATATGGACCCTTGTGTTTTTTTTAAAGATTTTATTTACTCATTTGAGAGAGAGAGAGCGAGCAAGCACACCCATGTGAAGGGGGAGGGGCAGAGGGAGGAGGAGAAGCAGGCTCTCCCTGAGCAGGGAGCCTGATGTGGGGCTCCATCCCAGGGCCCTGAGATCATGACTTGCACCAAAGGTAGACTTTTAACCAACTGAGCTGTTTACTGCAGCATTATTTACAATAGCCAAGGTATGGAAAGAACCAAGTGTCCACCAAGAGACGACTATAAAAGAATATGTAGAATATTACTATGTAGTAATATGTAGAATATATAGAATATTACATATAAAGAATATGTAGAGTAATGGATTATGACTCAGCCATGAAAAATGAGATCTTGCCCTTTTCAACATGGATGGACTTAGAGGATATTATGCTAGGTGAAATAAATCCAAGAATGGCAAATACAATATGATTTCACTTATATGTGAAATCTAAAAAACAGAGGAATAAACAAAACCAGAAATAGGCCCATAATTTTAGAGAACAAACTTATGGTGGACAGAGGGAGGCAGGCTGGGAGGACAGGCACAATGGGTGAAGAGGAGTGGGAGGCAAGTTTCCAGTTATGGAATGAATAATTCTCTGAGCTGAAAGGTACAGCATGGAATACAGTCAATGGTACTGTATGGTGAGAGATGATAGCTATACTTGTGAGCACAGCATAATGAATAGAATTGTCAATTTAAAAAAATTCTGGAAAGCTTTATTATTTCATTATGAAATGAGGCAAGGGTACCTGGATGGCTTAGTCATTTAAGCATAGGCGTTTAGCTCAGATGGCAGATCCCTAGGGATCTGGGGATAGCGCCCCACATCCAGCTCCTTGCTCATTGGGGAGCCTGATTCTCCCTCTCCCTACCACCACCCCCCCTGCTTGTGCTTTTTCTGTCAAATAAATACATAAAATCTTCAGGAAAAAAAAATGAGGAAACAGAGGCTCAGCGAAATTAAAGTGGCTTGCCTGGGATTACCAAGGTAAGTGGTAGTGCCAGAATTTACACCTTGGTTTATAAACCTAGTCATTACATCTATCGTATGAATTCATATACTAAAGCACATTGTACATTTTTGTAAATTGATTTAAACTGTTTAGTAAAGAAGTTAGGTTTTATTTTTCAATTGGGGTAAATTATATGTGGATTTTCTCACCATACAAAAAATCTGTAATGTCTTAGTGATGAAATCATTCACATTTATTGAAAACATCAGGGTATTTGTTGATGTACTTGAGTCGCTGAATAGGAAACACTTGTCCTAAGTGCTGTGCCATAATAAATCTGTTTCCATGGGTGAAACACACTTTGGCTGAGCCTATTTTGCTTGATTAGATCCCACTGTTTCTCTCTCCAGAAACTCCTCTGAAGGTCAATTTCAGGCAACAGGTAATGAGATACAACTGAAACGCAGAACAAACCTTCCCGAAACACAAAAATGTTTTGTCAAGGTATAATAAGCGTTGATCCCCCAAATGAAACGGATAACAAGAGAAGATGGTTGTAATCTTCATCAAGTACCTTGGCTCGTTCACCTCTTCGAGAAAACCAAGAGGTAAGAGGCGAAAGAAGCTAAATCTCGAAAAGCGCTTTTCCCTAGCAAACCAGCACCCCTGCTCCCGGCTCCCACAGGTCAGTTACAGAAACCTCCGTGCCCTCTCTCCGCCTCAGTGGTCTGACCGCAGAGAAGAGGCTGTAAGACGCGCCGCCCGTTGAACAAACTCGAGTCACTTAGAGACACGTCTCCAAGGAGACAGGGTGTCAGTGACTCGCACCCGGTACTTTTGGCTCCCACACACCTTGACTGAGACCTTCTCTTCCCTCAGCCTCTGCCACCAACGCCGTCAGGAAAGCTAGAACCTCCTTGTCACCCCGCCACCACACGTTTATAAACTCCCTCAAGCACCTGACTTCCCTCACCAGTCCTCTTCAGGGTCCCCCCTCGGGTCTTGGCGGCTAATAACAAACTTCTCTTTTTACCTCTCCTAAGTCGGACTCTCGGAGACGAAGTAGAAGACGGGCGTCCGCTAGCGCTCGGGTCCCTTAGCTACTCTGCCCACAGTCCGCTCCGCCCCTTCTCGCTCCCTTCCACCCTGGCTCAGGCTCGGCTCCCCCCGGGGGTGAGGCGCTGGAACCGAGCGCGAAGGAAGAGCGCGCATGCGCGCCGCGGGTGGAGCCGCTGGGCAAAGAACCGGAAACTTAAGAGACAAAGTTCCGAGCCCCGCCCCCCGCCGCGCTGCCCCACCGTCTGGCCCCGCGGACCCACGAACCGACAGATCCACGCACGCACGAAAATCGGCCCCGCTCCTGAGAGCGCCATGTCTGGTTCCTCCAGTGTTGCCGCTATGAAGAAAGTGGTTCAACAGCTCCGGCTGGAAGCCGGGCTCAACCGCGTGAAGGTGAGCGGGGGCGGGCGGCCGAGGGGGAGGGGAGGGCGGAGGCGGAGAGTGGGATCAGGCGGCCGAGGTGGCGGGGATCCGCGGCGCTGGAGTCCTGCTCCCGCTTTGCTTGGGGAGGGCGCGCGCTCCGCGGCGAGGATCCGGGAGCGGCCAACTTTAGAGAAGTGGCGGCGCGGGTCGGCGCCGTGGCTTCGGGGGTTGGTTAGTGCGCCCTTCCGCGGCCAGGGCTTCCCAAGGCGGCTGGTCCCGGGGCTGAAAGGCGGCTTTCCGCATTCCGGTCGCCCTTCTCTCTCCCTCCCTCTGCAGTGACTTGGTGGCTGGCTTGGGCAACAGCTGCTCCTCCGAGTGCCGTCCGCACCCTTCCAGTCGTTAGCTTACCAGACTCCACCCTTTCTTTTCACTGGAGAGTTTTATCTGACTTTCAATTTAGAACAGAATCTGTTTTCAAGTTAGAACGCTCCCAAACCCTCTACTTTTAATACTAGATTCTTACCTCCCGCTCTTCTTACCCATCGAACACATACTTGAAAACGAATTTTTGCAAACGCAAACTTCAGGTTAAAGAAGCACGTTTGTTCTCAAAACGTCCCCAGTGCCTAAGGTTACCACTAGTGCCCTGTACAGCCTCGTACAAAGCGTGCATTTCATACCTATTTGGCACAGTTTGCTGTGGTCTGACCTTGGGAGTATCTGCTAGTTTGCATAACTTACTGATGAGGGTGGACAAGTCTTACTTGTTTTGCCGTCTGGTTAACACTGACCTTAGGGATTTACTTTAGGGAAAAAAACCTTTTGTGTGTGTTGGTAGGATAACCTGACATTGAAATGCTATTCCAAGTTTCTCCTGATTTTTAAAATCCAAGTAGATTGGCTTCTTTCTGGAGGAGGTCAGCTTACAAGTGAAACACTTCTTGTAATTAAGAAACAGAAGAATATAAATCATGCACTCCGTTGAAAGAAACAGCCAATTTCCAAGATGACTTGATTATGTACTAGAGGCTAGTGTTTACTTCTCCCTGAAATGTTCTGTGGAGTAAGCTGCCTCCCATTTACCTATTTCCTTAAATAGAAATGTCAGGGACCTAGCTTACTCAGTTGTGGTCACCTCAGGATGGAAGGGAAATTCCCATCAGTTTTGGTGTGGGATTCCCCTCCCATCCTGGGCTTAATTGCTGTAGACTCCATTGCTGTTTGGAATCCATTTCTCTCATATCCAGATTACTTAACTCGTCCCTGTGGTTTATGGTCAGTCTTGGCTGGATTTAACTCTGAAATCGAAATCAGATGTTTAACCTTTACATTATCATTCAGGTGTGCCTTTATCATAGTTGGAGCGGCTCAGGAAAGAAAAATTGCGGGGTGGGGACATAAAAAGGGGGACTGGTTGAAAGCAGTTAAGTGTTCAGTAGAGGTACTTAGTCCTTGTCTCAAAGTGAAATGGAAGCCCTCAGAGTACTATGAGGGTTTCGCTATGAAAAACCCAGCTACTCCAGTAACTCTCCACAGAGTGATGCCTGCTCCCTATACTTCAGTTCTTCAGGAGGCTTCCGCGCAGGAGCCTTAAAGCCACCATAGGTGATTTGGTTTTAGAGTTCTATTTCATCTGCTAGGGGCTGTAGCAAAGAAGGGAGGGAATCCTGCTGTGGAACTTTCAGTGAGCTTTTCTTTAAATCTGTTGTAAAGTGTAGCTGGTTTGATTTTATTTTCTGTACCTATTTTATCCATGACTCTGTGCTAGATGCTTTTTGGGGGTGATCTTTTACTTTAACTAGCACAGTTTATTGTTAAACCTTTGAGTACACTTGATAGAAATTTTCACAAATGCTTGACAAATCCTACCATATGTAGTGTGACCATACATTAATGGTATAGCCAACCCAGGACACTTCTGAGAGTGAAAGAGGGCACTAATAATTCTGCCAGGATTATAGGGTTTCAACATCCTGGTTGGTGAATATTATAATGCTTTAGGGGCTGGCAGCTTGTTTGACTTTTAGAGCCTTTGTCTTAGTTCTCCTCACTGCTTGGAATTCTGATTGGTTTCTCACTGGTATTTACCTGGCTGTTTGTCTTGTCAGTGAGATCTCAGTTTAAATGTCACCTCCCCAGAGACACCTTCCCTTAAGGCACGATCTAACTACTCTTTACCAAAGAGTTTCTTGTCTGTATTTTCCCCTGAACTGTCACCTCCATAACAAGGACCTGGCTGTTCTTGGTATTCTCAGTGCCTAGAGTATATTTGGTTCATACTAGCACTTGAGAAGTTTGTGAAAGGGAATTAGTTAAGTTGGAGCCTGCCTCCCCTTTAGGCAGAAAGTTAATAGATACTTTATCCTTACTGCTAGTTAATGTGAATGAAACCAAGTTTTAAGATTGTGCAGAAGATACCATGCATACCCCCCACTTTAGCTATACCTTCTTTTGGTGGGTAAACAGGGTGGCCATTTTTTGTAGCACTTGGTACCAGGTATTTACATACTACTTTACACAGTTGCTAAATAAACCTATGGAACTCATTATTACTCTGGACTATTGTATAAGCCAAACATACAGCTAGTTTTCAGATTTGAGATTCATCTCAGGATCGTGTATCTTTTTACTAGGTAGATGTCTGGGCTACAGCAGTAATCTGCAGGATTTCTTCTTATAGAGAGTATTTGTGATGCTCTTACCTCCCTTTCAAAGGCAAATGCCCAGCTGGACTGGACACCTGCTCTCACCCTCCTTGGGAACAGTTGAAACTAAAATGATTATTTTTCCCATCTTCCTGAAACCTCAAGACTGAGGATATTATATTCATTTGGGGCATCTTTTAGTTATTCTTGTTCTACGTCTGAACCATTCAGTTCTTTGTTTTGGTATCCTACATCACCTTATCAGGATATATACAAATAGTAGACGTTTAAGTGATACTTAAGTCCCATTTGAGTGGCATTGCATATGTGTATGAAAAGAGTTAAAAATCACATTTAAGCAAATACACTGCTTTTTAAAGGCAGGTGCTGCTCAGTGAAGTTATTAAAATAATTTGAAGTTTGCTATCAGCCTTTCAGTCGCATGACACTAAGCAGAAAGCTGTCACAGTTTTGTAACCTTAAACAGCAGATGGTACATAATACCAAAACAACGAACGGAATGGTTCAGATGTAGAACATAATGTTCATGGTAGCATTTTTCCAATAATACTGCTTTCAAGACAAAGAAACCATTGGCTAGAATTTTAACACATTTTTTATTGAACGTACCGTTTTTAATAAAAAGCAACATGTTGAGTAGCCTGAAGGTGGAATACCTCTGAAGTTTATTAGTAAACTAGAAAGATAGGTTTTATTTTGCAGATATACTTAGATCATTTGATGCTTTTAATAAGCAAGCAAAAGAAAACCTACTATAAACTGATGTCTGTACATGTAGTGTTTTGAGTATGAGCTCAGTATATATATGACCATTGACCTTCCATTAGTATATATCTTCTTTTGACCTAGGAAAATGTTTACAGGGGTGCCTGGGTGGATCAAAATCTTTTTTAAAATAAAAAAGAAAAGTGTTTATTGCAGGTATTTCAGAGATTTGAAAAAACCTCCATTAAAACCTTCTCACCTCTTCTCATTACCCTCTCTCCTTTTGTCTTTTACAGGTTTCCCAGGCAGCTGCAGATCTGAAACAATTCTGTCTGCAGAATGCCCAACATGACCCCCTGCTAACTGGTGTATCTTCAAGTACGAATCCATTCAGACCCCAGAAAGTCTGTTCCTTTTTGTAGTAAAATGACTCTTTGGATGGTAAGTTTCCCTAAATATTTAGACAGTTTTTTAAAAAATCTGCAGTGTTTATGGGGATTTTTAAATACTACCAACTGATTTGGATTAATTCTGATGTCATTCCTCTAATAGAACCCAGCTATAGTGCAGCATAGCAAAGAATTAGGAGTTGGGAATGCAAGAGAAAATCAAGAGATGGTTGAATAAGCTGACATGGTGTCAACATTTGTAGTGGGGAATAACAGGTTTTACTCTTTATTCTTGTTAAGTAAAGATAGAAGGAGGGAAATGAAGTGTATGAGTTCATGGTGGCAGGCAGTGGATATGATTTCATAAGATTAAGAAACTAAAGAATTTGCCGGTTTAAGGCATGTGTCTATGTATCAATCTTTACTTTCCAGATCAAATGTCAGTGTGTGCAAAAATGTATGTTAACCAAGAGAGATGTGACCAGAAAACATGATGTGGAGAATTTAAAATGTAATGCAAGGGTGCTGCCTTTAATAAATACATGGTACTTTAGTCAGAGGTTTACTCACTAGTACTGACCTATGAGAAGCAACCTTAAATTAGTAGTGCTTTTTTTTATATATTTTTTCATTTTTTTTTTTAATTTATTTTCAGCATAACAGTATTCATTGTTTTTGTACCACACCCAGTGCTCCATGCAGTCCGTGCCCTCTCTAATACCCACCACCTGGTTCCCCCAACCTCCCACCCCCCCACCTCTTCAAACCCTTCAGATTGTTTTTCAGAGTCCATAGTCTCTCATTGTTCACCTCCCCTTCCAATTTCCCCCAGCTGCCTTCTCCTAACTCCCCATGTCCTCCATGCTATTTGTTATGCTCCACAAATAAGTGAAACCATATGATACTTGACTCTCTTTGCTTGACTTATTTCACTCAGCATAATCTCTTCCAGTCCTGTCCATGTTGTTACAAAAGTTGGGTATTCATCCTTTCTGATGGAGGCATAATACTCCATAGTGTAAATGGATCACATCTTCCTTATCCATTCGTCCGTTGAAGGGCATTTTGGTTCTTTCCACAGTTTGGCAACCGTGGCCATTGCTGCTATAAATATTGGGGTACAGATGGCCCTTCTTTTCACTACATCTGTATCTTTGGGGTAAATACCCAGTAGTGCAATTGCAGGGTCATACGGAAGTTCTATTTTTAATTTCTTGAGGAATCTCCACACTGTTCTCCAAAGAGGCTGCACCAACTTGCATTCCCACCAACAATGTAAGAGGGTTCCCCTTTCTCCACATCCCCTACAACACATGTTGTTTCCTGTCTTGCTAATTTTGGCCATTCTAACTGGTGTAAGGTGATATCTCAATGTGGTTTTAATTTGAATCTCCCTGATGGCTAGTGATGGTGAATATTTTTTCATGTGTCTGATAGCCATTTGTATGTCTTCGTTGGAGAAGTGTCTGTTCATATCTTCTGCCCATTTTTTGATATGATTGTCTGTTTTGTGTGTGTTGAGTTTGAGGAGTTTTTTTTTTTTAATTAATTAATTTATTTGACAGATCACAAGTAGGCAGAGAGGCAGGCAGAGAGAGAGGAGAAGGAGGCAGGCTCCCTGCTGAGCAGAGAGCCCGATGTGGGGCTCGATCCCAGGACCCTGAGATCATGACCTGAGCCGAAGGCAGAGGCTTTAACCACTGAGCCACCCAGGCGCCCCGAGGAGTTCTTTATAGATCCTGGATATCAATCTTTTGTCTGTACTGTCATTTGCAAATATCTTCTCCCATTCCGTGGGTTGCCTCTTTGTTTTCTTGACTGTTTCCTTTGCTGTGCAGAAGCTTTTGATTTTGATGAAGTCCCAAAAGTTTATTTTGGCTTTTGTTTCCTTTGCCTTTGGAGACATATCTTGAAAGAAGTTGCTGTGGCTGATATCGAAGAGGTTACTGCCTATGTTCTCCTCTAGGATTCTGATGGATTCCTGTCTCACGTAGTAGTGCTTTAAAAAAAAAAAAAAAAAAAGACTGTGTGGCACACACCCTTTACAAACATTCTAACTCCTCAAAGTTCAGGAAGCTGCTTCTTAAAATACCATGTTACAGAGTTGCGTCCTCCCTCATTAAGCTTTGTAGATTTGGTGGTATCCAGGAAGGCAGCATGTTTCCAGTGAATAAAATGGTTAAATTGGTTAAGATTTTGAAACACCAGAAACCACCTTTGAGTAACAGGTTTTCTATGAGGAAGTAATTCTTATTAACAGCTTAACACATTCATTTTGAATAACTAATAGTTCGTTGCCTCTAACAATATTAATTCTTCATGGCAGATTTTGGAAATTTCATATTTTTATGGCTTATTAAATATTTTTAACCTCTTTTCCCTTTGTATTTACTTTACAAAGTGGTTTGTTTTCATTTGATATAAAATACTGTTAAGCCTGGCTTCTTATCTGGGTCTTAATAGTTTCATTTTACAAAAGTCTACAGATGGGTGTTTAAATGACTTGCTCAAAGTTTTAAATATAGCTAGGATAGGAACCCAAGTTTCAAAGTAAAATAATTGCTACTAATCCTGGCAGTATAATAAAATAAGTTTGTAGATACGATTTGAAACACCTTGGTCCAGGAAAAGGACATTTGGTTGTAAAAGTATTTCTGCTTAAACCTCAGTATCTGCAAATCCCCTTGTTCAGATGCAGATTCTCAATAGGTCTGAATTCTAGGGGTGAAGTATTTCTTACAGACTCCCAGGTTATATCGATGGTGCTGGTCCTGGGTGGCCCTTAGTGAAATGGCCTGGATGCAAAGAATCTACATTCAGTCTTTATTTTCACATCTTTTAAAAATATATAGCTTTTATAATTTAAATTAAGATAGTGTAGCTAATTTAGCAATAGAGTACAAGAAATATAGAAATTACCATAATCACGCAATCACTGTTAATAGATAATAGAATATATTATAATAGATTAGATTTTCTTTTAAGAGGAAGAAATATTTATGGGCTGGTTTACAAACACTGAGGATCATAGTATGTACAGTTTTTATTCTGCTTTTAAAAACCACTTGAATTTTCTTATTTCATTATTTGCATTAAAAATTCTTTGTAGGAGTGCCTGGGTGGCTTAGTGGGTTAAGCTTATGCCTTCCACTCAGGTCATGATCTCAGGGTCCTGGGATCGAGTCCCGCATCCGGCTCTCTGCTTGGCGGGGAGCCTGCTTCCTCCTCTCTCTCTGCCTGCCTCTCTGCCTACTTGTGATTTCTCTCTTCAAATAAATAAATCTTAAATTTAAAAAAAATTCTTTGTAAATGAGATTTTCAGTTGTATTATAATTTAAACATCATTAAATGTTGAGGTTTCCAAGCTTGAAGCTACATTGAGGCAAATATCTTGGTCCTCCTATGTGTAGTTTACCTCTTTCAGATAAATTTCTAAAAGTAAAAGTATTTAGGGATGCCTGGGTGGCTCAATTGGAAGCTTCTGACTCTTGATCTCGGCCCAGGTCATGAACTCAGCTTTGTGGGAAGGAGCCCCCCTTGGGTGTAGTTGGCCTATCCTTTTCCCTCTGCTCTCCTCTCCTGGCTTATGCTCTCTCTTGCTCGCTCGCTCTCAAGTAAATAAAATCTTTAAAAAAAGAAAAAAAAAAGTAAAATTATTCAATAAAGAATGACATTTAAAATTTAGTAACACTTCATAACTAGGAACAGGCTTTCCACCTGAACCTTGGGAATGCTCTTTTGTTGAGCTCTTGCTAAACAGTTCTCAGGCTGTTCCTTATTTTCTGCCTATCTAGTTTTTAAAATTTGCACTAATTCAGATGTTAATTGAAGCTAAACATTTTTTCACCAGATTAAGCTTCTTGAACATTTTTGTTGTAAAATATCAGAAATTTTCAAGTAGAACCATGTATCAAAAAGAAATTTTATAAAAGATAAACTTTTTCTCCCCTTCCATATAGATGTTAACTCTTTTTTAAGGAGTAACTACTATATTATTTTTGAGATTTGTGTTGATCCATGTAAATTATTTTACCTGCTGTAGAGTATTCAACAATATGTATCAACCCTGGTTTATTTATCTATTCCCTTATTGAGTTACATTTAGGCTATTTCTAGTTCTTTGCTATTAAAACACCACTACAGTCAATATCCGTGTACGTGTTTCTCTTTTATGTATAGGTTTATCTAGGTAAACAGAAGTGAGACTGCATCTTTCCTTAGTAGATATAGCCAGACTCCTCTCATCAGTGCCAACTGCTCATTTTCTAGGGATGTTCAGATTTTTCTGAATTTGAGAGTTTTATATTAACTTTTTAAAAATTAGGACATGGAGTATCTTTGGGAGTGATCTTGGCAAGTTAATCTTTAAAAGTCCGTTATTTGTAAACCAGAAGTGATTTGTACTTCAGAGTGGTTATGAAAATTAAGAGGAAGTTACATTTTATATACCACAGAGATCTCCTGTTTTATCATTTTCCCCCTGGAAACCTTGAGATGGATCTGCCTTTAACAAAACAAAAAAAAAACCAGGCTTAGTTTGGGGCACCTGGGTGGCTCAGTCATTCTGATCTCATGGGTCCTGAGATCAAGCCCGAAGTCAGAGTCGCTTGGATATTCTCTCCCATGGCCACACACAGGCCAGTGCTCACTCTCTAATAAATCTTTTTAAAAAAATAAGATAGGCTTAGTTTAATTGAAAGCACTTTATAAGCTGACATGTAAACAAATGTCCTTAAAGTAATAGAAAATGTATTACTTTTCAGAAGAAACTATTGTGCTTTGGTACTTTACCCTAATTCACTCTTTTCTTTTCCATTTCAGGTTTTCTAGACCACTTTTCATGAACCAGTGACTATTCAAAGGAGAACTAAATTTGAAGCCTGTACAAAAGCTTATCCCTGTAACACGTGCCATACTATATAAACTTTTACTTTTGTCAGTCCTTAACATCTACCTCTCTGAATTCTCATAAATTTCTATTTCATAAGGGTAATTGTTTTATATACACTGGCAGCAGCATACAATAAAATACTTAGTATAAAAGTTTTTTGGTTAATTGCTGGTATTAAATAGGCTATGTATTAATTTATTTTGAATACCTAAGATAAATGACAGTTTCCCATTGTTATTAAGAAGGGGTTAAGTTTTAGTGCATTTTCCTATCAACTCATCTCACATAATTTTATGCCATACATTTATTTGAAAGACTGTAGGGAAGTTGAAGACTTTTTTTTATCCTTTCAAGGTCAGGAGGAAGCTGTTGATACTAGTTCCTACTCATGAGTTATTTGCAGGATACACTTTGTTTTAATAATTCCTAAACTCTAGGGTGTATTACCATTACACCTAAAAGTTAATTACTTCTTAATAGATTACTCCCCTAATTAGGACAGTAAAAACTGGACATAGGAATGCCATTAGAAGATGTTAAGAAAAACATCAGAGTTTCAAACATTTCTTGAGTGGAATACTATAGTACAATGTAATGAGGTACAAAGGACCAAGAAAAGAACCAAACTTTAGCTTCAGTAATTTGCAACTGTTAAGTCCTTGGTAAACCATTTTGCTTTAAAATTTTTACCATTCTGAAAGGCTTAAGGAAATATTAAAACATCCCACAAACCTGGCCTCCTAGTATGTAGTCATGCAAGAAACAAAGTTATGTGCCAGGTCCAAGATTAGTCTGATAGAAAATCACTGGGTTAGTGTCTACCAAGAACTATTCTATTTTCTCTCCAGACCACATGTTCCATGAAAGTACACATGGGAAAGTTAGTTTGAATCTTGATTCCAACTTAAAATTACCTACAAATAAGAATTTTTAGGAAACTTAAGCTGCAACTTCTAAATCACCAAAATGACTTTTATTTGTATTTGCTACAGTGAATGGTAATTCATGGCACTTGGTATTTTGTCCACACGTGAAAAGGTTTATGAAACCAGTAAATGACATTCTGAAAAGGGTCTTCTGTCATAAATTCAAGATAGGTCTGTTTAGCACAATTCAATACTATTCCTTCAGTATTTCATAAATGGAATTTTCTTCTACTTGTATCCATTTCCCGGGGCTGAAATTAGAAGGGGAAAAAAAAATGTAAATAATTTATAGGTTAACAATCCTAAAAACAAAACAAACACAACACAAAAAAACCTTCTGGGTCCATTTCAGAGACTGAACTGTCTAGGTCTAATAAAAGTATTAGAAATTGCTATTCTAATGTGTGTGTATAATATATATAAAATTTTGAAGTAAAAATCATACCTAAGTGAACTGTTGCTTACCAGGAAAGAGATGGGTTTTAAAATATTGAAGTTTTCATTTCTGATTTAAATGATCTCCAAACTTCTAAAAAATGTCTATAGCAATAGTTTTCAAACATAGAGAAGAATCCTAACACTGGCTTATAAAAGAGTGCTGGGCCCCATTCCCTAAGCTGCTGATTTGGTAGGTCTGTGGCCCAACAATCTGCCTTCCTAATTCTAGGTGATGCTGCTGGGTCCACTTTTGAGGACCACTGATCTTTAGGATAATTCAAATGAACCAGGGTTCATCACCAGACCAAAATACCCTATCAGAGATTCGCTCTTTTGAACTTATGGATGTCAGAAGCATAACTTGAGATGTAAGTACTCAAAGCATAATGTACGTGGTTTCCTTCTCATTCCATTCAAAATGATCTAAGTGGCTTTTGAAATAAGGCACATTACCTTATGGACCCATTCATATTCTCCATATTTAGAATCAAAGGTTCCTTTCTGAAGAGATCTTAATTTTAAGGTAAAACGTGGTCCAAGTTCTTGAATTCCCACTTTCTTTTCACTCTTGAATATGTACCTTCAAAGATAAATGAAAGAATTAAGGGAAAACAGTCTGAATGAATCAAATGTAATTTCTTCAATGTGATAAGAGTTCAAAAGAAAATTTATTTCTCATCTATGATATTTGTCACAATGTTAGAAAACATGTTTACACTGAAATGTATTTCATGATTTAAGTCAAAGTCCAAGGAGTTAAAGTACCTTCCTCACCTATGAAATCTGAAGAAGATATAGTCCCGCTGATTGTGGAATGTGGCAACCTGCCTTCCAATAAACTGTGGATTGTGGGGAAAAAGAGATGCAAACATACGTCCAACTGAATGACCCAGCCTCGTTGTAAAGTTATTCAAAATTATTTCAGGTATGTGTTCTGTAGGGTCCTTCCCTCTTCTCTGGAAAAATGAAAAAAAAAAAAAAAAAATCACAACAAGGAATTAATCTATATCCCGATACTGCAAGTTCAAGTTTCAGAATTTACGTGACAAACTGAAAAATTTTAAAGGTGTCTTTCTTGATGACAAACTATCACGTATGACTTATCAATCTCATGAAATAATAAAACAGATCTAAAATTATTTGCAGTGACTGTACCAAAAAGTCCTACTAGAAAGTAACCTGTTTCATAGTAATGAAGGCTACTGCCTGTATGCCATAACTCAATTACAATCTCGTAAGAAAACTGCCAGTAGATAAAACTTGATTTAAGCAGAAGGACAAATGCCATTATAAAATGCCAATTCGATCTGTAAGTTAGAGTTGACTAAGCATATACAGCAAGCAGATCAAAGCCAATTAAGGAATGAATAAAACTTACCTTAATTTCTTTACGCAAACGAACACTGCTCATTTTAAAATGAGCAGTTGGGCCGTTTGGCAAGTGACTTAGAATTAATCCATCTGTTCAGAAAGCTAAGAACACATTGAACTCTAATTTAAATCTTAAATTGTATAAATAACTGGTCCTCTGTATGTCCAAAGGCTCCTAAAATTTGTAGCTAGGTGAAGAGGTAGATGCGTGTATGCCTCTGGGTTAACAAGTTTCCTTACCATACTCAAAAGTAAAGCCTCATAAGTCAACCCAAATTTTAAAAAACAAAACATTAAGCTATAGTAGTCCCACTTTTTCTCTTCACAATGTAACAAATGAGTCATCACCCTCAACAGGGTTTGTTGGGTATTCAACTAAACTAGGTGAAAAGAGCTTATGCCCACTACCCTAACATGAATGGTAAGACAAGATGGGATTCTAGCATAATTTTAGCACAGCAAACAAAAAAGTTTACGTCCCTGTTCAGAGGCCTTATAGCCCTAAAAACGCACTTGTATACATAAGCAAGTACACACATTTATAGGTTTTTTTATAGATTTGCAGGGTTAACATATGCTGTCAGCTTTGAATACTGTCCCAGAAGACTAGAGACTCAGCCCTCTTCTTGAAATCAAAGTTATTAGTGTTTCTCAAAAGACAAGTTCTTATTCTTGGGATTACTGTGCCACAAATTAAAATCAACTAATTAATAACCATTTACTGATGATGTACTACAGAGATCTCTGCCAGACACACTGAACTATAAATTAAGTATACTTCAATTGGTAGGGTTAGCACCCCAAGGGCTCTAAATGTCTGAAATGCAGCTACCTATATACAACATCCCTCAAGTCTTCATAACACAATTTGATTCTTCCAAATACTGAACCTTTAAAGAGGTCAGAATCAAATTATTCCAAATTATCTGCACACAGTTTTACAAAACAGATGTTGCCATCTTTTTATAAAGGCATCAACATTCAACCATTAAAAAAAACAAAAACAAAAAAGCAAAAACACATTCTCCCATTAGCCCATGGGTTATCTTCAACTTCCTCCTTCCCTTACCAAATCCTATTTACTGCTTTTACCCTCATAAATTCCTCACTTCCATAGCCCCCTCTTTACCCTTACTGCTATTCTTAGTTGAGGTCCTTGAGAATTTCCACCTACATTAAAACATTGGTCTGACCTCTCTCACCATTCCAAGTACATTTTCCAAGACTGTAAATCAAGTTTGTACGTAATAAGATATGGAATGCAACTCTCATTTTATCTATACCATGGTTTCTCATGCTAAGTGAAAAACAAACTAGATATACCTTGAGTCTTGACAGCTGTAGCTAATTTCATACTACTCTCACTACTGCTCATCGAGAGAACAAAGACATCAGTACAGCTCTCATGTGGCCCCAAACCACCTTTCTAATCTCTTTATGCCTCCCTATTTTTCCTAACTGGTAGGCACTGACAATCTCTTGTACACCACACATATTAATCCTACTATGTATTTTTTGTTCATGCTATTTCAAACAAACTGAGGGCGCCTGGGTGGCTCAGTTGGTTAAGCCTCTGCCTTCGGCTCAGGTCATGATCTCAGGGTCCTGGGATCGAGCCCCACATTGGGTTCTCTGCTCAGCGAGGAGCCTGCTTCCCCTGCCTCTCTATCTACTTGTGGTCTCCATCTCTCTCAAATAAATAAATAAAAAATCTTAAAAAAACAACAAAAAAACAACAACAAAAAAAAACAAGTTGAGGGGCACCCAGCTGGCTCAGTCATTACAGCATGCATCTCTTGATCTAAGGGTTCTGAGTTCAAGCCCCAAATTGGGTGTAGAGATTTGCTTAAAAATAATATCTTAAAAACAAAGAAGCTGGGGGAAAAAGAACACTAAGAATTAAATTTAGAGCACTGAACTAATTCCAGTTAATGTAATATGTTATGTACATGCCCTTTAAATGGAATGATCTAAAATTTTCATAGGATTGGGTTGTTTTTTTGTTTTTTTAAGATTTATTTGAGAAAGAGAGAGACGGCATGAGCAGGGGGAATGTTCATGCTATTTCAGATACCTGCAATAATTAACTCATCTACTAAGGCCCACTTCACCAATGAGTTCCTTTATGTATGTTACTGTTTTATATATGCAGGTGCACCCATGTTGGATGCATATTTACAATTGTTAGATCTTGTTCAACTGTCCCCTTTCATTATGATACAGTGCTCTTCTACATCTCATGTATATTTTGGTTTAAAGTCTAATTTTAAGTCTGATATAAGCATTCCTACTCCAGCTTTTTTTTTTTTTTTTTTTTTTTTTTTTCATTTCTTTTTTTAATTTTTTTTTATTCTTTCCTTTTCCATTTTTTTTTTTTTTTTTTTTTTTGACATCCATTCGCTTGATAAATGTTTCTCCATCCTCTCACTTTCAATCTGCAGGTGTCTTTAGGTCTAAAATGGGTCTCTTGTAGCCAGCATAAAGACGGGTCTTATTTCTCTATCCATTCTGAAACTGTGTATCTTTTGATTAGAGCATTTAGTCCATTTACATTCAGAGTATGTATATATTAATATACATATAGATATATAGATATTTATATTTATAGATAGATATATATTTAGTGCCATTTTACTACTAATAGATATATATTTAACCCACTGAGCCACCCAGGCGCCCCTAATAGATATATATTTAGTGCCATTTTACTACTTGTTTTGTCACTGTTTCTGGAGATTTTCTACTAAGAGTCCCCTTTAATATTTCTTGCAGGACTGGTCTAATGGTCACAAACTACTTTAAGTTTTTGTTTGGGAAACTCTTTCTCTCTCCTTCTATTCTGAATGATAGCCTTGCTGGAGAGAATGAACATTATTGGTTGAATATTTTTCCCATTCAGCACTTTAAATATACCATGCCACTGCCTTCTGCCTTGCCAAATTTGTTGAGAAATCTGCACTGAGACTTCCCTTTTAAGTTAGGGGCTTTTTTTTGTCTTACTGGTTTTTAAGACTTTTTTATCACTATATTTTGAAAATTTAATTACAATGTATCTTGGTGTTGGTCTGCTTTTGTTGATTTTGATGGGAGTTGTCTATGCCCCCTGGATGTGGATGCCTATTTTCTTCCCCAGATTAGGGAGGTTTTCAACTATTATTTCTTCAAATTAATTTTCTGCCCTTTTTTCCTCTCTCTTCTTCTGGCACTCTATAGGTATTATTATGTTTGATGGAGTCACTCAATTCCCTAAACCTGTTCTCATGTTCCATAACTCTTATTTCCCATTCCATAACAGCTTATTAATTTCCCATTCCATAACAGCTTATTTCCCATTATTTTGTGTCTTCTGTATCATTTATCCATCCTTCTGCCTCTTCCAGCCTTGTGTTCATTGTATCCGGCCTGTTTCCAATCTCGGTTATTACATTTTTCATTTCTGACTCTTTAATCTCTGGTAAGGACCTTCCTGAAATCTTCCATTTTTTCCTCAAGCCCAACAAATATCCTTGACTGTTGTTTTAAATTCTCTAGCAGACGTGTTACTTATCTGTTTCACTTAGATCTCTGGCCGTGACATTATCATCTTCTTTCATTTGGGATAAATTTCTCCATCTGGCATTTTGTCAAAGTCTCTGCCTTCTTTTGTGTTAGAAAACCCATTACGTTTCCTGCTCCAAATAGTAATGGCTTTAGAAGTAGAGGTCCTATAAGGTCCAGGGCCTGGCACTTTAGGGGAGTGTCTCTGGTGTGTGCTCTACTGTTGTGTTTTGGCTGCTCTGTCCTTTAGGCCAATTATCTGCAGAGGCTCTCCTTGCCTGCTGTGGGCAGTATTTGATCCTTGGCCAGAATGTGGTGAGTTTTAACTAGGTGTGCTCTGATCTGTTTGTGAAGTGAGACCTGACAGTACTTCCACTAGAACTGAAGCCCTGCAGAACTCTGGTCAGGAGACATGGTGCTGGTCTTCTAGGGAAGGAGCTTGCCATGCTGGGACTGAAGCAACTTAATCAAGAAGTGCAGTACCGTTGAGGCCCACTTCAAATGCCACCTCTTTTTATACAGTTAAAATTAAGCTTTAAATCTCACCTGTCACTGTTACTTAACTTTAGCACCTGTCACTTATTTGAGTTATAATCATGTAAATGACCTTCTTCCCAACTAATCTGTTAACTCTTAGAAGACAGACTTCTTACTGATAAATACTAGTGCATACTATACAGCAGATTATCAGTAATATTTGAATTCTTCCTGACCTCTCAAATTTCATAAGGTATAGCCAAAAAGAATTTCCGGATCATTTGCACACTGAAAAAAGTCATGAAATCTCAGGGGGCTAAGAAAAGTAACGGTAATTTCTTCTAACCTAAATCAAGACTTGAATCCTTCCTAAAACATTCCCACTGAATTGTTTCTGTCAAAAGAAAACTACAAAATCCAAAATAATCAATTCCTAAGTACCTGCACTGTACAAAAAGCTTTCCTTATGTTACTGCTAATTCCTAACATAAACCATGAAGAACAGGAGTCATTATCCCTATTTCAGTAACAAGGAAAAGGGGTTGAGATGGGTTAGGCAGATTAGCCCAAATTTCAGAGCTAGGTGGCAGACCTTAAGGGTGGGATCACACCTGTGCACAAACCCTAATGCATAGGAGGCATTCTGTTATAAAGACTGAGGTGAAACTTTTAATACCTTCCCAAAGGTCAAGAATGCAAAACAGTTTACAAGTTGCCAAAAGTACAGCATGAAGACTTACCTAGCTCAAATTTCTATTTAGAAATACCAAATAGAGGATGTAGGTCTCTCCAGAAAAAACTTCCATGCTTTACCCCATACCCTAACATTTACTAAAATGCCTACAACAAACCAGGCATTAAGCCTTGGAAACATACATTTAATGTGATCTTTGCGGGAACCCTAAAGATTTGGTACTATCTCTTATTTTAAAATATGAGAAAACCAAGTACCCAAGAAACTTGACAAAATTACAAAAGCAGCAAGTAATGAAGTCTGTATCTAACATCACACCTGTCTGACCCAAAGCCGCTAGACTACAGTTTAGACAGTTGACAAAGCTCTTTTGTAGAGGAAATCAAAAGTTTGTATCTCCATAAATTTCCACCATGTGGCACTATTCTTTTACAGCAGCCCTTCCAGTATCTTACCATGCCCCCATATTCTAATTTACTATAGGCCAAATATCCTCAATTCTTTCAACTTTTCTCCAAGCGTCATCATTAGGAATCATGACTTACTATTTGTAAGCCCATGTTAAGCCTCTAGGAATCACACTAACATTTCTATTATGTGCCTACAAATTATTCTCCTTTAAATTATTCTACATTTTTTTTTTCCTGGATCATGGCAAATACTAACTAGCAGTCCTCTTTCCCTCTCCTTCCATTTGCCTGTCTTATTATCTTGCTCAGAGTAGCAAAGTCTCATTTACAAGTTTGTGCAGATATTCTCTGAAAGCAGGATATGTGACCTTATTCAAAGTTTCTAGACCTTAAATCTTTTTAACCAAGATGGACTTCCAATGCCCCTTACCAATGTCCTTATTAGTCTTAAAGACCATTCTCTTTTAAGAGAACACAAAAGCAATTTAGGAGGTCTGCTTTCCTAGCTTCTTCCAACACTTTGCCATCGACTGCATTACTACATATCAAATAGGAAAGAAAATGAAGTATCTTTGAAATTATTAAAATCAACATCCAGGGACGCCTGGGTGGCTCAGTCGGTTAAGTGTCTGCCTTTGGCTCAGGTCACGGTCCCAGGGTCCTGGGATAGAACCCCATGTCAGGCTTCCTGCTCAGCAGAGGCCTGTTTCTCCCTCTCGTCCCAGCTTGTGCTCTCTCTCACTATATCTGATACTGTCTCTCTCAAATAATAAATAAAACCTCAAAAAAAAAGAGAAAAATCCAGGCAAGATTATACTTATAAAAATTCTATTCATTAGGACTTTTAAAAACTGCGTAATTCCATACTTAAAACTTATAATCAAGGGATACCCATTACATGCTTATGTGTGTGTGCATATATATATTTATGTGTATAGGAAATATAATCTTACACTTGAATTAATTAGTCTAGTTATTCCTTAATATAAATTTGGTCTTTTTACTGATGGTACCTTAATGATATGAATTTATCCTAGAAGGTATTAATACATTTTGGGAAAAAGACAATATATAAGGAAAAGAGAACATAAACTTCCTAAAGGCAACAGATAGTGTTAAGTGAAACTTAGTACCTATATAAAATACCTAAACTAAAATAAGGATACAATGTATTGAACTGATGAATGCCTGCTAGCAGCCTTAAAATGATAATAGTTTTTTAACTGCCAAAAACAGAGAGGAACACAGACCTTGCCACTTTATTTTGGGAGACAGTTTTAAGAAGGCAGCAACTACATTAAAAACATCTCTTCTGGAATAGTTAAATATTCAAGAGATTTTAGTTATTTTGGGTACATTAACCCATAATCTAATTTCTATAATATGGCCAACAAAAAACATCACATTAGAAAGCTAGTTTAGTCTATTTTAGTCTCTGGAAAGCAACTCACATAAGTGGATAATGTCTTTAACTTATATTGAAAATACTAAGGCCCTAAAAGCTATTTATTAGGTTTTTAAAACATAGCTTTTAAACTATTTAAAAAAAAAAGCAGTGTTCATTGATTGAAAAAAAAATGTTATTCTGGCAACAGGAAAATCCTGTCCCTATCTTTTATGAATCCTTAATAATTTTAATAACTTGACCCATGCACATGATCATCTTCAAAATTAATAAGCTCACAGGGGAGCCTGGGTGGCTCAGTTAGTTAAGCTGCCAACTCTTAATTTTGGATCAGGTCCTGATTTCAGGATCCTGGGATTGAGTCCTGTGCCAGGCTCCACACTCAGGGTGGGGGGTGGAGGCAGGCAGTTCCTTAAGGATTCACTCTCTCCCTCTGTTCCTCTCCCTGCTTGCTTTATGCACATGCTCTCTAAAAATTAATAAATAAACCTTAAAAAATTAAATTACATTAATGAGCTCAGAGGCACTAGTTGATAAATAAGGAAAACAGTAGCAATAACGAAAACAAATCTAGGCATCTTTATGTGCTCTCTCATCTCCAAACAGGAAAAAATACCTTGGGTTCATGTCACATAGTTGTCTCAGATCTGAGACTCACAGAATAAGGATAGAGTATTCTTGGCATCTGAAACAGCAGCAAATACATAATATGGGCTCAAATACCTACCTCAAAAATGTAACCCTGTGACACCACCTCTGGTAACATAAAATCTAGCCATATCAGACTACCTGCAGATCCCCAACTGGGTCAGCTCCATCAGGCCTCTGCCTTTACAAATAGTATATCTGCACTGGGCACTCTTCTTCAACTTTATTCACCCATATTCACCTTAACTGAGCTTAGGCATCTTTTTCTGTCAAGTCCCTCCTCCCTGATATCCCCAGGGCAGATTTTACCAGACTGTGCACTATATCCTATATTTCTCTCTTTAACTGAACTATACACGCTATAGTTTTGTTAGTTTACTTATCTATTTTCTCTTACTAGATTACAAACTCCCTGAAGCTCCTATTTATTTCTCCATCTTTTACTAAGGATTAAAATAATGTCAGCCTGTAGCAGTTACTTGATGAATACTTGCTAAATGAAAAGAAAAAAATTAGTTTCATAGAATCTTGGATAGATACATAATTTTCTAGCTTAAAAAATTGTATGTTCTTAAAGTTATAGAAAACATTTCCTTATTCTTTCAAATGTATTTTAAAAGGGGATGAAGGTGAGACAAGAAAACTTCTTTAATAAAACAAAAAAGGATACTTGGTGTTTTACGATCTTCATTAATAACAATCAGATCTGTGAAATCTCTTGAAATGCACTGTGGAATAATTTTTTTCAGAGCCAGTCCTCTTCTGTAATAAACATGTGAGTTTGGTATAACTGTGGAGAGCTGTTCACAGAGTCGTACTGTTCTCTGCAAAACAAAATAACAGAAATCTTTGACGGTGAGAGGGAATAAAAGTCTTAAGTGATATACATTTATAAGGAAAGAAGTAATGATTAATATGTCTTATTAATAAAGGGCAAGGGTAGGGAAAGAATGAAATCTGAACAGTATTTAATCCTTTATTAAGGGCTGATATCCTAAAGCACTGTTCTCAACTGGGGGTGATTATGCCCCATTGGAGAACATTTGGCAAAAGAGGTTATAACTGGTGGTAGTGGTGGGGATGGCTGGTAGTGGTATCTAGTGCACAGAGGCCAGGCATGCTGCTAAACATTCTATAATGAATGAACCCCCATAATAACAAATTATGCAGCCCAGAATGCTAATAGTGCTAAGGCCGGTAAACTCTACCCTGAACAATCATGCTTAGAAATGGATAATTTTATTTAGCTTATTCATAGGTATTATCTATTGAAATTACTAATAATTTAACTCATATCTTCTGAAAGGAGTTCTTTTAAATAGTCTATGTGGGAATTAAGAATTCAATAACTATACTGATTGATATGCTTACCCCATGAGGTCTATCTGATGTTGTGATGAGAATCTTGGGAGAAGTTTGTCTGTTGAAGTAAGAAGCAAATTCATCTGTAGCTTCGTCATAAGCAACCTGTGAACAGAAAAAAATATAATTTTTTAAAAGATTTTATTTATTTGACAGAAAGAGACCTAGCGAGCGAGAGAACACAAGCAGGGGGAATGGCAGAGGGAGAAGCAGGCTTCTTGCTGAGCAAAGAGTCCAATGCGGGGCTCGATCCTAGGACCCTGGGATCATGATCTGAGCCAAAGGCAGATGCTTAATGACTGAACCACCCAGGCGCCCCTGAAAAAAATATAATTTTATATCAAACATACTCTACTACTAGGCCAAAATTTTAAAAGTAGCTCTAGCAGGATTCTATGGCACGGACTATCTTCCTGACTGATAGGGGATTTAAAGAAAGCCAAGAGGGATTTATATTAATGGCAACATGAACAGGCTGAATGATTTTCTATCTGCAGAATACAAGTATAAAACTGGAAAAAATTGTCAAAAAACAATTTCAAGACACAAACTGAGCTGTGTTTATTCTTTTAAAATTTATTTATTTACTTGAGAGAGTGTGTAAGCAGGGGGAGGGGCAGAAGAAGAGGGAGACAATCTCAAACAAACTCCCTGCTGAAAGCAGACCCCAATGCAGGACTTGATATCATGACCCTGAGATCATGACTTGAGCTGAAATCAAGAGTGAGGTGTTTAACCAAATGAACCACTCAGGTGCCCTGAGCCATATTCATTCTTGAAAAATGGCTAGGGCTATGGGCAAGGACATCAGGAATCTTGCTAAGAACTATTCCATTTCTTCCATCAACATGGCTGAGAAAATACTAACTTTATTAACTTGAGGTTTGATGGTAGGCAAGAACCAGCAATCTTGAATCTAAGGGTGGTGGACTAGATTGGGGATAGGTGGGTCTGAAAACCCTTGCTTTGTTAGTCCAAGGTTACTGGGCCAGGTCAGGGGAGATGTGGACCAGTCAGAAATGCAGAACTAAGGAAGTGAAAGAGCCACAGAGGGGCTGAAATAATCTCCACAAATCCCTGTCTGACAGCTAAACTACATACACATGGGAGAGTTCTAAGAAACCAATTCACATGAAAGGCCAGGGAGACTTGAGAATTGGCCCCAACTTTGAATGCAATCCTCAATCCACACTCAGCTCAGTTGACAGAAGTTTGGAAGCTCAAGGTATCTCAACACAGTATCCACCCAAAGCGCAGGCTTACCATTAAGCCACACAAACACAGGGACAATCTCTAGGGAGGCAGGTTAAAAACAATAAAACAAAAACAAAAACAAAAAAAGACAAGTAGAGACATACAGTGCTGATAAAGGAAATTCAACTTTTAATGTTTATGGGCCCTGCTCCTAGGCTCCCAAGGAAGCCAAACTTTTACCAAGGTCAGAATGACTTCACTAAACTTCAAAGCATGGGCTCTATGCTCCCAACACACACTATATATTTGCTTTTTTTTTTTTTTTTTTTTTTTTTAGGATTTTATTTATTTATTTGACAGAGAAAGAGATCACAAGTAGGTAGAGAGGCAGGCAGAGAAAGATGGGGAAGCAGGCTCCCTGCTGAGCAGAGAGCCCGATGTGGTACTTGATCCCAGGACCCTGAGATCATGACCTGAGCCCAAGGCAGAGGCTTTAACCCACTGAGCCACCCAGGCGCCCTGTATTTGCTTTGTTAACAAATACCTTTCTAAAGGAACATTTTAAACTAAAGATGAGTAAAATTCTCCCTAAGTTCCATTTCCATACCTCCAAAGCCTTCAACCTTGCACACACTGAAACCATAAGATCAAATTTGTAATTTTCTGAATGTCTTCCGTCATGATGATTTATAACTCTCGATGTAACAAAAAATATATATAACCCTGTATTAGGGTTTCCTTCTCCAGAGTACTCTTGTCAAAAATGTATATCCCGTAAAGCCTTTCTCAACTGGACTCTCTTTTTCTTTTTCTTTTTTTTAATAGGAATTCTAAAAGATTTGTTCATTTTGCATTGAGTCATTACACAGATAGAGAGATGGGGAGGATAGAGTCATTACACAGTTTAAATCCAGGCAAGTTACTAGAACAAAAAAAAAATCAATAACTCAAAAAATAAAACAGTCCAAAGTGTCCAGCTTTCAGCCAAAAAATTAGGTACTTAGTATGACTAATAATCAGGAAAAAAGCAACCAATAAAAACTGTATCTGAGCAGGTCTAGATGTTGAATTTAGTGAAAATTTCAAAGCAGCCATAATAAATATATTCAAGAAATTAAAAGAAAAGAGGGGCTTAATGTAGATCTAAGATGGCAAAAGATCAATGAATTTGAAATTAGATTAATAAATACCCAATCTGAAAAACAGAGAAAACAATCATTAAAAAAGGAACAAAACTACAGAAAACTATAGGACTATGTTAACCATTTTAATAGTGTGAAAAGGAAGTCTTTGGGGTGCATGGGTGGCTCAATCCATTAAGTTGTCTACTTTTGGCTCAGGTCATGACCAAGCCCATGCCAGGCTCCCTGCTCAGCGGGGAGTCTGCTTCTCTCTCTCTCCCTGCTCCTTCTCTCTCTTTCAAATAAATAAATACAAGATCTTAAAAAAAAAAAAAAAAAAAAAAAAAAGAAAAGAAATGGAAGTCTTTGAAGGAAAGAGAAGGTAGAAAAAAGAATTTGAAGAAATAATGGGTGAAAAATTCCAACATATGGCTATAAGTTCAACAAACCCCAACAGGACAAAAAGAACAGTAACATAAACACATCAATGTCAAACAACTAGGAGCCAAAAACAGAACATTTTGAAAGAAAAAAGAAAAATCATATGCAAGGGAGCAACTATTAAATGGCTGATTTCTCATCAGAAATTATGAAGGTCAAAATATAATAGTGTATGTTCCAAATACTAAAAGAGAAAAAAGTCAACCAAGAATTCCTTAATTTGCAAAATTCTTTCAAAACTGAAGGCAAAATAAGCATATTTTCAAATAAACAAAAATGAGATAGTTAGCTATTAGATCTATTATAAAAACAAAAACATGAGATTCTACAAGCTCAAAGAAAATGACACCAGATGGTAACTCAGATCCAAGGAAAAGAAGAGCACTATAAATGGTAAATACAAAGGTAACCATAAAAGACCTTTTGTGTGTGTGTGTGTAAACTTTCAAGCTATACTGGTGTAACCTGTTATACTTATCAGCATCATGTCTGTATTTACTTGAAGTAGATTGTGATAAATTGAAGACGTTATGCTGTAATTCCTAGAGAAACTGCTAAAAGAATCCTAAACGTATAACTCAAAAGATTAAAAGGAATTAAAATAGCATACTAAAAAATATTTTTTAATATAAAAGAAAGCAGTCAAGGAGAAACAATAAAAATACATAAAATATATTAAAAAAGACAAAATGGCAGATGTAAATATAACACATCAATAATGAACATTAAATGCTAATTGTTAGACTGAATAAAAGAGCAATATCCAACCATACACTGTCTGTGACATTTTAAATTCAAAGATATAAACTCATTAAAAGCAAAAGCACAAAAAAGGAACAGTAACCATAAGAGAGTTTAGGTGACTATGTGAAATGAGATAAAATAGACACTAAGTAAAGAAATGTTGCAATGAACAATTTAAGGGAAGGGACAACAAGAGATATGCTGGATTATAAATCAATACACTACGAAGATATAATAATTACAAATGGACTCATACCTGAAGGAAAGTAAAAACAAAAAAAATTTAAAAATAGGTATGTACCTAACAAAAGAACCCCCAAAGACATGAAGTAAACTGAAAGGAATGGAAGAAATGAATAACTCAAAAATTATAATTAGAGATTTCAATATCCTCTCAGTAACTGATAGAATTAGAAATTCAGCAAGTACACAGAAAATAGGAACAACACAATCAACCAACTTAAAACAACTCTCTTAACAATCCACTTCGAAACAGCAAAATATACATGTTTTCCAAAGGAACACACAACATTCTTCAAAATAGATCTTGCGCTAGAACACAGAATAGTTTCTTTACTTGAAAAGGACTAAAAATAAATAGATTATGTTCCAGAACCACAGTAAAATTAAGTTAGAAATCAACAGCAGAAATATACCTGCGAAATCCTCAAGTATTTAGAAACTGAACAACACACTTCTTGAAATTGATGAACCAAAGAAGAAATCACAAGAGAAATCAGAAAATATCTTGAACAGAATGAAAATGAAAACACAACAAACATATCAAAATGTATGGGCTATGGCTAACCCAGTGCTTAGGAGGAAAACTATAGCTTTATGTGATTATATTAAAAAGAAAGAAAAGTATAAAATTAGTAACATAAGCTTCCATTTTAAGAAACTAGAAAAAGGGGGCACCTGGGTGGCTCAGTGAATTAAAGCCTCTGCCTTCGGCTCAGGTCACGATCCCGGGGTCCTGGGATGGAGCCTCACATGGGGCTCTCTGCTCAGTGGGGACCCTGCCTCCCCCCTCTCTCTGCTTGCCTCTCTGCCTACTTGTGATCTGTCTGTCAAATAAATAAATAAAATCTTAAAAAAAAAAAAAAAAGAAACTAGAAAAAGAATAAATGAAACCTTATGTAAGTAGAAGAAAAGAAAGAATAAGGATCAGGGGACAAAACTAATGAAATAAAACACATCAAGCAAAAACCAAACCAAACCAAACCCTGATGAAATTACAAGAAGGAATCAATAAATCTTTCATTATAAGAGATACTTAGATTTCAACAATAAGAAAGGAAACACATCTTAAAACTTGAGGGATGTACCAAAAGTGGTACTTAGAGGAAATTTTGTGGACTTAACTGCTCATTATAGAAAGGAAGATGAAAAACAAGTTAATCAAATAAAAAGAATAAATTCAAGAGAGTAACAAGAAATAAATGATGAGGTGAGATATAAATAAATTAGAAAACAAAGTTTCAAAATAAAGATGATCAGAGAAGTACTTTGAAAGAGTTAACAAAATAGATATTATCTCTGGTAAAAAGCCCAAATAAATAATATTAGGAATGGAAAGGAGCATTACTGCAGTCTTCCTTATACAAACAGATATACATATTCTAAACAGAGTACTGACAAACCAAAACAATGTGAAAAAGATAAAATATCTTAATTAAGTTGAATTTATTCCAAGAATGCAAAAGAGATTTAACATTAGAAAATCTATTTCATTTCCTACATCCACACAATAAAGGAGAAAACTTGCATTCATCTCAATATTTGCAGAGAAAAAGTACATAATTATCTCAACATTTGCAGAAAAAGCACCTGTAACATTTTACATTCGTTCATGATAAAACAAACAACCCTGCCAGCAAGAAAATGAATGGATTTTCCTTAACTTATAAGAAGAATCTACCATTAAAGACACAAACATTAATGATACATGTTAGAAGCATTCTCTTTAAAATTAGGAACATGGCAAAGGTAACACTATTGCTATTTCTATGTATTTGACATGCTGGAGGTTCTAGTCAGCACAAAAGAAATGATCAATGGACTGAAAGTTATTTGCAGAAATGATTAGCTAAGCATGAAATGAAAAAAATATTTAAACAAATTATTAGAAACAAATTTAGGCATAATGTTTAGAAGATCACAATCCAAAAATCAATGGATTTTTATAAATCAGCAAATAAAATAATTTTCAGAAATGTGATTTACACTAATAAAAAACACAAAATATCCAGCAATAGCTCTAACAAGACTTATGTATAAAACTTGCATGAAGAAAATCACTGAAATGCATTTTTTGTACAGAAGACCTACCTAAAAAAAACAACATATAAATAGAACCCCTAAGTTATCTACTTTAACACGATTTATAATTTTATATGGCAGACCAAAGGTTCACAAAGTGAATATTCCTGAAGAGAGATTAGAGGATGGGGTTGGAGAGGGGCATTCTGCTCTAACAGATATCAAAACTTAGCATGAAAATAAATAAATTAGAAAATAAGTAAGTGATAAAGCAACAAGCTGACCAATTGCTCAGAAAAAGGCCAAGTATATATGGATACTTGATTTATGACACAGCATTATAATCCACTGTGGGAAAGGTTGTACTACTGGAAAAATGGTGCTGGGGAAACTGGTTACATATGGTGGGGGCAGGGGAAGAAAGAAAAATTGGTTTAATTTCTCATGCCAAACAAAGAAATCTATTCCTGATGATTAAGCACATAAATGCGAAAAAAGCACAGAAAAAGTAAAAAGAGCATCCACAAATTGGAAGATACTTATATATAAAACATTAGTATCCAAAATATAAATATAATTATATATGTAGCCTCTAAACACCTGTGAATTCCAATTTATCTCCAGTCAAGATCCCTTCATATCATGTCAATGACAATCCCATCCTTCAATCCTTCTAATTAATTACTCAGGCTAAAAACCTCAATACCGCCTTTGAATCCTCTTTTTCTCACATCCCACTTCCTATCTATCAAGAAATTCTACTGGCTCTAATTTCAAAATATACCTGGGGGAAAAAACCCAAACCTTAGAATCAGACTGATTCTCAACACCCACTGTAACCACTATAGCCCAAATCATCATCATAATCTTGGATTACTTCAGTAGCTTCCTAAGTATCTATTTCCCCTCTCTAAATTACATTCTCAGTATAGCAACCAATTACTATTAAAAATTAAGTATGATCGAGGGAAATTGGAAGGGGAGGTGAACCATGAGAGACTATGGACTCTGAAAAACGATCTGAGGGTTTTGAAGGGTCAGGAGGTGGGAGGTTGGGGGAACCAGGTGGTGGGTATTAGAAAGGGCATGGATTGCATGGAGCACTGGGTGTGGTGCAAAAACAATGAATACTGTTACACTGAAAAGAAAAAAAAAATTAAGTGTGATATCATCCCTCTGTTCAAAACATCCAATGGTTCATTGCACTAAGTATAAAATGCCTATGTCCTCACAATGGTCAACCAAACCACTGCTCTGGTCTCTGCTCTTCCCAATACTGGCCCTTCTTCTATAACCCTCTCTCTTGCTCACTTAATTTCAGCATACTGGTTTCCTTGCTGTTCTTCAAAAACATACTAAGCATGCTCCTCCTGCCTTAGAACTTTTGCACTGTTTATGCACTAGTTTTTACACTGGTCATTCCTTAGAAACCAAGTGGGGCAGAACTGCAAGGAGGCCAATTTCTTTACATCCAAAAATAGCTGATTTCTCTATATCCTTCAAGTCTTTGCTAAAAGGTCATCTTCTCAATGAAGCCTACCCTGACAATCATTATATGGAACTGCAACCCTAATCAACAAAAAGATGGCCACTAGATATGAACAATTGATTAAAAAGAAAAAAAGCATAAAAAGATGTTCAACCTCATTCACAACAAGTCAACAAAAAATTAAAACTACACTGAGATACAATCACCCATAAGACTGGAAAAAATTATTTGTAATTGCAAAATCTTGAGTGAAAGTTTGAATAGTACACATTTACATAATCTCAAAGCATACCCCCTCCCAAATACTTATTACAAAGGGAAAAACAGAAGCTATAATGGGAAAATCAATAATATATGACTCTTAATAAGAGCATCAAAAAGAATATATGATCATATCTGACATATATCTGTCAAAAATATATAAACCGAACGTAATCATGAGCAAATATGAAACTCATATTAAGTGACATTCCATAAAAAATACCTGGATTGTACTCTTCAAAAATGTCAATGTCATTAAAAACAAAGAAAGTCCGAGGACCTGTTCCAAATTAAGGGAGGTTAAAGTCATAATAGAATTGAATCCATGAGCTGGAATTTATCTTTTGCTAAAAATGATGCCATTTGGACAACTGTAGACATCTGAATAAGCTGTCTAGACTAGATAATAATCGATGTTAATTCTGTGATTTTGATAACTATACCCTGTGCTTATTAAGAAAAACACACTCGTTTACAAGTAAAATCCACTAGATTATGTAGGAGTAAACAGGCTTTATGTCTACCATTTATTCTCAAACATTTCAGAGAATACAGAAGAAAAGCATGTGTGGTACAATTTAAGATTTAGGAAATCTAGGTGACGGGCATACATGAATTCCCACTTTTCTATTAAGTCTGAAATTATGTCAAACTAAATAAATCGTACACACACACATTCACACATACTCCTATACATACAAAATTGCAAAGTCTCTCTACTTCAGATAGTCCTCAATCTACTTTATCCAGATTCTTTTTAGGATTTATTTATTTTAGAGGAAGAGAGAGAGCACGCACATGTGGAAAGAGAGGGAGAGAGAAAATCTCAAGCAAACTCCCTGCTAACCACAGAGTCTGACCTGGGGTGCAATCTCACAACCTTGACATGATGACCTGAGCTGAAATCAAGTTGGATGCTTAGCTAACTGAGCCACCCAGGCACCCCTCTTTCACCCTAGTTTTTATTTTTTTTTAAAGATTTTATTTATTTACTTGACAGACAGAGATCACAAGTAGGCAGAGAAACAGGCAGAGAGAGAGAGAGGGAAGCAGGCTCTCCGCTGAGCAGAGAGCCCGATGCGGGGCTTAGTCCCAGGACCCTGGGACCACAACCCGAGCCAAAAGCAGAGGCCCTGACCCACTGAGCCACCCAGGTGCCCCTTTCACCCTAGTTTTTAACTGTAGTAATCTATCACCTGCTAACACATAATTTATTTTATTATGTTCACTGTTTATCTCTCTCCCTAGAATACAAGTTCTGGGTGGGCTGATATTTTGTGTGTATATATGGCAGAGTGTTTGGTCCACTGGTGGAATCCAAGTCCCTAAAACAGATCCCAATACACAGCAGACAATCAATAAACATTTGCTAAAAGACTGACAGACTGACTGAACGAATGACTATATCTAGAAATGTTAAGGAATGTCAAAAACAGTACTATTTGAGAGCAAATATAACCAAAATCAAATCTGCTATACCAAAAAAAAAAAAAAAGTTTAAAAACCTTGATTCTCTCGCTGTACTGTCACCAAACAAAGGGAAAATGTGAAAAGTGACAAGTGGATGATAATCTTGAAACTCAAGAGTTTTACGAGGACACAGAAAATATCACCAAATGTTATCCTTATATCAAAATGTCTAATACTACAAAAATCTATAGTATGAGTAATGCTTTTCGAATGATATTAAAAACAGAAGTACTACATAAGATACTAAATGACAAAAGTTTACCTAGGCATAAAATATCATACATTTCTAGAGAATAGAAATATATTTCTATTTTCTGCCTTTTTTAGAACATTTGAGAAATTCAATTATGACATAATCTATAGCAAATAATATGCCAACACTATAGCTGAATCAGTCCATTATACAATTTCACCAGCCAGTACTTTTAAGTTTCAATATGTGAACAAATGATTTATCAACTGTGGCCATCTAAATTTATTTAAGACTTATAACATTACCTCTTCATCATTAGGGTCTACTACAGTTTCATCATATACTCTCTGGTTGTCAATGGTCTTTGGTACAGGCTTTGGTGGAGCCTAAATAAGAGAAAAAAGATTAAGTTTTTAGAAGCAATTTACATTACTAATTTTGCAGTCTGATTGGGGAAGAATAACAGAAATTTCCAAATAATCCAAAAACCAAATCTGTTCCTCATTCATCCCAATAATACTGAGTAAGAGGTAACTCTGAGCAGAGATATAAACATCCTAGAAGAAATGCTAACTGAATGAAATGACTTAATACCATGCAAAAGTACCTGAAAGAAGAAACTGGAATTAAAATAATTATCCACTAAGAAGAGTATTAAACAGAATAAGAAAAATTACAGTTCAACCTTAACCAACATGGATTTGAACTGTGCAGGCCCACTTACACGTGAATTTTTTACAGTACAAGACTATAAATGTATTTTCTCTTAGCATTTTCTTTTTTTTTTTTTCTCTTAGCATTTTCTGAGTAACATTTTCTCTAGCTTATTTTACAGTAAGCATACAGTATATAATGCATATAACATATAAAATATGTGTTAACTGATTATTTACTCAGTAAGACTTCAGATCAATAGCAGGGTACTAGCAGTTAAGTTTTTAGGACTTTTAACTGTGCAGGAGTAGAGATGGTCTGTCTGGAACCCAACCGCCATGTTGTTCGGGAGTCGGCTGTACAAAGGTATATCTATATGCAGCTTTATTCCAGTACTTCCAGAAAGCTACACAGATATAAGTAACAAAGCTACAAGTCTATCTACTGAAATAGAAAGTTTGAGGCATTTACAGTAAGGAATGAAAGGGAGGAGCAATTTATATAAAAAATATGCAGCAGCACTATTATTAGTGGAAATGAACAGCAAATAGGGCAAATATCATACAAAAAGTTAATGACTACGACACTTCAACATAATGGAATACTTATTGTCAGAAATGGCAACATGCACACTCAGCTTAGACCAAAAAATTTGTAAATGAAAAGCTAAGGAGCAGGAACAGAGAACTGTAAGCACACACTGACTAAAATAAATTTGAAACATATGTATGCTAGCAGAGATATGAAGAAGTATGAACTGATAAACTATTTGGGATTTTATTTATTATTCTATGAAACAAATATAGAGTTTTAAAATTTTTTTTTAAAGGAGGCAGTTCTAGGAAGTCATCTTTCAGTCAAAGAAACAAGAATGGTGAAATTTCCAAATGGTGATCAGCATATTTGCTGTTATTAACTGAGTACTAAGAGTTGAGACTAATGTTGCCTGATAGGATTCTGCACATCAAAACAGTCTAATACTGGCAAGTCTGGCAAGTACTAGACTGGGAAGCTTCCCCATTCCCAGAGTCAGGAGGATGAGTCTCTGTCTCTCAAACACATAAAATTAAGTAAAATAAGCACACTGAAGCAGACATACCATTTACGTGAAATTTTGAAAAAAATGCAAAACACCACCATTGTTTTCGTCATTTAGGACACAAAAAAAGAAGTGCACGGGAACACGGCAATTTCATAAGTGGTTATCTTTAGAGGGGAAAGCAATCAGGAAAAAGCATACAAAAGACTTTGAATATTATTTGCCAATGCACTGTTTCTAAGCTGGGTAGAGAACAGAAAGGGGTTTGTTATTTTATTTTCACATCTTTTATACACTGGTAATATTTTATAATAAGTTTAAAAGAAAGTGATACAATATAAATATCAGAGAGCATTCCTCAACATAAGACAGAAAACAGCTGGCTAAAGATTTACCTTATCACCAAGAGCTTCTCTCTCTTTCTTAAGTTTTTTCTTAATTGCCAACTTTTCCTAAAAAGTTTAAAGACAAGAACAATATTGAGAAACCACCAGTTACATCACAAACACATACTGAACTATACATTACTAATGCTATGAATACTTAAACTGAGAAATCTTTGTAATATATTAAACATCCTAACACATATTTTCATACCTAAATTATTGTAAACCAAATAAGCTGGCCAATCAATAAAACATAAATATCTTGCTCTTTCAAAAAGATCTAAATTGGCAAGCTCAAATATTTAAAGTTTTACTAGCTTTATCTTTAACTATAAAGTCTCGACTTAAGTAAAAATGTAAAATGTATGCTTAAAAAAGTTAAGTTTTTCTTATTTCATTTTGCATTCCTAGTAAGCTGTGTTCTAAAGAAAACCATGGGTATGCTGCTTACTTCTTTTGGAAAGTACTAAAAATAAATGAGAATGGGAGATTTTCAGATTGCTTCCAATAAACCACCATTTGTTACCCATAAATCTTACAATCAAAATATGCTTTCAAAATTATTAAGAACTTGCAGGGTGAGTTACACCTGTAATTACTGTAAATCTGTACCTTCCCGAGATTTCTGAATAGAATGCTTAATACACAACAGAAAGTACTCACCCCTCCCATCCCCCAGTGCCTATCTACCCTCCACCTCTCAAGTTTCAGATTACAGTGTCAAGAAGACTTCTCGGAGACCCTTCCGGCAAACCCGCTCTCCTAGAGTGAGTTAGAGTATATATTCCAATAGCACTCTGGCGCTTATAATGAGTAAGGCACAATCCACGGCCTCAAAAAATCCAGTATCTAGTAAGAGGAGCCAAGCAAGTGAAAAGAATATTATGTGTGTGAACTTTTACCACGTACAAAGATAAACAGATGCTTGCTTCCAATCGCAATTTAACCACAGATAAGTACTGTGACCTTGAGTTTTATTTATCTCTTCATATTTATCCCTATAACAGTATGAAGACAACGCTACAAATACCACTACTAGAAACTTTGCATAAATAATTTCGGTAAGAGTACAGGAATCAGAGAAGCATCACTTTGGGTTTACGTAGTGCCCGTTCTACGGATTCTAGGAATCAGCCAAATTTAGGCGGACTGGGCTAAACATAGAGATGGGAGAATTTCGCGTTCCACGTCTGGAGGGGTATTTTCACTTCTACGAGAGCGGGACATCCTGGTTTCATTCTCAGAGGGAGAACCTAGACGGGCTGAAAAGGAAGAGAATCCTTGACGCTCAAACAAAAAGCTGAAATCTAGAGAATATCCCCAAAGCAGTGCGAGAGGACCAGGACACAAGAACTTCCGCCTCACTCCTCCAAATTATCTCCTCCCGCACGCCAGGAAAGCGCGACCACGCAAGTGCTATTCCCCGCCCCACCATCACGCGCGCGCGTGAATGATGCGGCGCATGCGCCCGGCCGCCTCCGCCCCGTCCTACCTTACGTTGCTGCTGTTTCCACCGCGTGAACATTAAATGTCGCCGTTGTTTGTTCTTAATTTCCGAAATGCTGAAGCCTGGGGGGAAGGCGGTCGTTTTCGGGGGTTGGACCCCGCTTTCGGTCGCTCCATCCTCAGCGACTGCAGCCTCCTGGGGTTCTTCGGCGGCCGCCTTCCGTTTCAGGCCTTTTTTTCCTCGGCCGCCGCTGTTATCCCCGGTCTTCGCCATGATGTTTGCTTCCAGGCGTCTGTACGGAAACGGAAACAGCTGTACCCCGTGACTCCCTCACTTAAACTTTTACTTCCGGGGTCAAAAAGTTCTTAAAGAGAAAGGTGGAGTACTTTGTGATTTTTAGCCATTTAAGAAGGTGGCAAAATTTAGGGGCGCGTGAGTGGCTCCTTTGGTTAAGTGGTTAATCGTCCGCCTTCAGCTCAGGTCATGATCCCTGAATTCTGGAATTGAGCCCCTCATTAAGTCCCCGCTTAACGGGGAGTCGCATTCCACCTCTGTTCCTCCCCCTGATCATTCTCTCTCGTTCTGTCTCTTAATATATAAAAATCTTAAAAAAAAAAAAAAAAAAAAAAAGTGGCGAAATTTAGCTTTGAGAAAAGTTTAGGGGGGTTTCCCCTGCTGTCTGAATACTGAAATGATGAGTTTGTAGAATCCTTTATTGAGCGTCTACTATGTGTCAAGCCCTCAAAATACTGAAACAAAGCAGCCTTTGCTGTATAAAGTTTATGTCTTACTGGAAGAAGACCTGAAATGAGCACACAAATAGTGTGGCGAGCTAAAAAGTAACACACGGTAGGGAGAAAATAGAATAGGATAAAGGAAGATCAGAGGTTGCACCTTTAAAATAGGATTGTTAGAGTTGCCGTCATTGAAAAAGTTACATTAAGCAAAGATTTGAAAGTGGGTAAACTTTGCAGTTATTCGAGGGAAGAACTGTTCATATGAGTAAAGCTGGTTATCTAGGAGAAAAGCTGTCCAAGCAATGGAAACATACAATTCCAAGATTCCCAGTCAATAGTAAGCATGAAATGTTTGGGTAATGCCATAGAAGCTAGGATTAATATGAGAAAGGAGGAGAGTAGGTGCAGGAAGGGTTTAGAAGTAACAGATTGTGTAGAATTTTGTAAGAACTTGGGCTTTTCTGTGAGATGCACATCTCCTGGAGGATTTTGAGAAAACAAACAACATGATTTGACTTAACATTTTGAAAGCATCATTCAGGCTCTTCTTCAGAGAATAGATTTTATTTAGGGGAAGGAAAGTGAAAGGAGGGGAGAAATGACAATGGCTTGAACCAGAGTGGTTCTGATGGAGGTGGTGAGAAGTGATCCGATTTCTTTTGCAAGGTGGGGTTCCTGATGATTGAATGAAGTGCATGAGAGAGAGAAGTTAAGGATGACCCCCAAAACTTTAGAACTTAGTGACTGGAAAGATAGGGTTCCCATCATTTGAGATGAGAGAGACTTTAGGTAGAGCAAATTTGAAGGTAAGATCAAGATTTCAGTTCTGGAAATAATTGAGTTGGAGACACTTAGTAGTCAACTGATTGTTGTTGTTAGTTGGGCTATATGATTATGTAGCAGGAGAGAAAGGTATGGACTAGAGATAAAAATGTAGGAGTTATTGTCATACAGATAGTATTTCAAATAATTATAGCAAGTGTGGATAAAGAACCAAAAAAGAGAAGAGGACCAAGTACTGATCACTGGAACAATCATACATAAAGAGCTGGAGAGAAAGGGGGAACCAGTAAAGGAGAATGAGAAGGGAAAACGAAGAGTGTCATAGAAACCAACAAAGTGTTTACACAATTATTAAGTTTTTCTGTATTCTGCATTTTAATTTTATGAAAATGTCCTCCAGAGACAAAAGAATTCCTTTTGGTTTATTGTTAGAAACTGCCTTAATTTGAAATAATACATTTCAGTATTGACATTGAGTGTTTTGATAATTCAGTAGTTTGGTGTCCATACTGCATTTTTTTAACCATTTAAGTTCTTTTAAATAGAATATTGAAAACATCAAAACTGCATTTTCCGGAATACAAACTCCATCAAAACCTGCTATGAAGCCAGAAGTCCAAAACTGTGATTGGAAAACTAAAACCATAATCCGTAGATACAAAACTGAATCTGACTTATACAATACAATCGGAAGGAAAAAATATTGAGCTTTAAAATCACTGACATATGGGTTGGGCTGCAATAAGTCATAAAATATTATACCACTTATTTAAAGAGGAATAACCAGCTCAAAAATGAGGAGGAGGAAGAGGAAGGGGAAGCAAGAGGAGACAAACCAGTTTATATCTATAGACTGAAAAAATATTGTGGAAGTATCTTCTAGTCTTAATATTTCGTCTCCCTATATTTAATATACCTTCCCCATAAGAACACAAAATAATCCTGAAATGGAATTAGATAACTGTCTTAAGTTTATTCAGAGTTACCATACAAATGAGACCATAGCTGCTTAGCATAGAAACTTCCTATTTTTCCTTCATGGCTCATTTGTAATAACATTGTGTGAGTTGAATGAAAGGATTTCTGTGATCAGAATAAAATCTGAAAAAGTCACAAAAGCATTGGTCAATTCAGCAAATATATATTTAAGCTACTCAATAAATGGACAGTGTGAATAACTATGATGGAAACTGTGGGCTCTATGTTCTGTGTTCAGACCTTTACTCAGGCATCTGAATGCTATAAAATCTGAACTAAGTCACATAATCTCTGTGAGCCTCAATTTCTTGATCAGTAAATGGGGCTAATTATACTGCCATGTAGAAACACATCCAGTAAATGCTAACTAGCTGTTTTTATAATTCTACGTGTAAGAGACTATGCCAAACATTGTGGAGAAAAAAATACATCATAATTTCCCTCAAGTAGCTTATAGTTTAGAAGAAGAAGTTGAAGCACAATTCTAGCGTATGTATTGAATAATGTCAGTGTAGAGTGCTTCTTAACTTGATGTCCATTTCAGCCATTTGTTTTTTCTCACTAATTGCTTCATTGTCTGCTATTTTCAGAACACATTCCCAATAGAGTATTTGTTATTTTAAAGTAAAATGCTTATTTTAAATATTTAATAACTTTTTTTTTTGCTTATTTTAGTTCTGGTATATGAGATACCCTGAAATACAACTCCTAGACACCAGATGAATTCAATGATCCAAACTAATAAATGACCATGGTTCTGTTCAGAATATTGGATCTATCATTTTACAGTGTGACTTAAGCTCTTTATATCACAGAAATTATTACAAAGGTACAAAATATAAATCCATTGTTTAAGAACAAGAGGCACCAGTTTGAGGTTGGAAGATGTTTTATTTACAATGTGGTAAACAAACACAAAGTAAATTAATGCTTCCTGGACTTGAATTATGCCATATAATTTGTTGGTAAGAACTGTTAAAGAAAAAACCAACATGAAGGCCACAGTTCGAAAACACACCTAGACCACCACTCATAGTCATGTAACCAAAACTTAAAACTATCCTGATTTCCCCAAAATACTGACTGACCTAAGACAAAATCTAAGCTTTTCTCAGGTCAGTGTGCACCTTATAGCTTCCTAGCCTATCAGCTACACACAAGTAAGGTTACACAGTGCTACTATGCTAAAAAGACAAAGTTTTTAGTAACCAGTCACGTTTTTTAAAAACTCCCAATGTACTTTCTCATTCAGGCTTTACAAACTGAGCTGTAGCTGCTAAAAGCTGAGCTCCTAGCCCCTTTTAGCTTAAGTCTGCCTTCGGTCTGCGAACAGTTTTGTTTCTTGCTCAATAGAATATTCATATCAAACAAAGCTCTTGGAATTTTCTTTTGACAAGAACAGTAGACCTATTACAGAACTAGCCTCTCATCTGCGGATGTTTCAGAGGTACCCAAGTGCTGTTTCCGGCACTTAAACTACTTATCTCAAGGAATTTTGAGAGTTCTCCTTTTTATTTGTTCTGTACTTAAAGCTATCTAAGTGATTAATGAGGTTTGTTCCTCGGGTCCTAGGGCTTTACTAACCCAGGAAGTAGGTTGAAAAGTTATTACAGGGATTTATAGTGTCAATATGACTCTCACAATAGCCGCTCTCCTTTGAAAGAAGTTAAAGTCAAGAAGAATAGAATCAGTACAATTTTGGGAGATGTTAGAGTCATACCCGCTCCTACCGGAAAATGAATTGGTGACTCAATCATGAAGACTTTCCAAATATTAAAAAACTGAAGAGTAATCATATGGTAAATACTGTCATCTCTGTGTACTCCACACTATGAAAGAGACATAATGCATGTGCTGGCCTTTCCAGAAACCAGAAATATATTGGGAAACCAGAAGTTTTATTCCAGAAATAAGTCTTCAGATTGTGACTTTGGAATAATTTCTAACCATTCCCTTGAGGCATTTTTAACTTTTTTGAGCATATTCTAAGCTTGGCCATGATGCTATAGGATACAAGGGCAGTTTTTGTTGTATTTTCCGAGTAGCTTGGTCCTTAATGGCAAGGTGAGCTGTTTGGATAAACAGAATTTTTTTCTGCCCGTTACTATTTTTGTAGTGTATACAGTTCCACATATGTCTTGTCTGCTGATACACTTTTATTTTATTTTTTAAATTAGTAGGCTCCCCACCCAATGTGGAGCTTGAACTCAGGACCCTGAGATCAAGAGTCACATGTCCTATCAACTGAGCCAGTCAGGCACCCCTGGTGATACATATTCTTGACTCTCACCTGACCAGGGAAAGTAGCACCACAAACTTCAGTTTCACTAAAATATTATCTCCTAAAATGATTTCTGATTGGTTGAGTTCATCAAAGGAGCTTTTATTTCTATCTTTGATTGGAATGTATATGGTGTCTCTAGCTTATGTTTCTGATAATGGAGTAACCATAAACATAACTTAAATAACAACCTGGAATGGCATTTATGTGTTTAAGAATTTTTTCTGTTGATTCATTCATTCAACACATACTTATTAAGTAGTAATTTGTATCAGTCCTCTGGGTATAGCAGTCAAAAATGAACTACTCCCTGTCATCAAAGAATGCCAGTGGGGAAAGACAAACACACAAGCAAATCCAAAAAGTGTAAAAGGTTCTATGACTGCTACCTTGTTGTATAATCAAGACAAAATTTAGAATTACACCTTCTCATGTCTTCTAAGAGCCAGATTAAGTATATTTCTAAGTCCTTTGTTGGTAGCTGAGGACATATTTTCCATAAAATTTAACCCATGTATAGTGATTAGATCCACCCAGACTAGAGACACAAATATTTGTTTCTTTTGTTTTCAGCCAATACTGTTTAATTTTTCTCCATATTTGTATTTTAATTTTCCAGAACCTTAGAAAGAATTTCTATATGAAATAAAATATTC